GCGGACACAACATCTTTGTTGGTATGTGGTGCTGAGGATCGAACCCGGGCCGCATGCATGCCAGGCGAGCGCGCTACTGCTTGAGCCACATCCCCAGCCCGAGAACATACTTTTTATTGTTACTTTTTTTTCTTTTTTTTTTTTGCAGTGCTAAGGATTGAACTCAGGTCCCTGTGCAAGGCAAGTGCTCTACCATTGAGCTACACATCCCAATATGGCCTAAAACTTTGATCCTCCTTCCTCAGCTTCCCGAGTTGCTGGGATTACAGGCATGCACCAGCTTGTCCACACAAAGAACATACTTTTAATGATTTAAATCCTTTTAAGTTTTTGTTTTGATGACCCAGACTAATGGTTATTTTGAATATTCCAAGTGTATTTGAAAGAAAATATTTTGTTATTGGGTGTAGGCTTTCAATTGTCAAATTGGTTGATTGTACCATATTGTTCAAGTCTTCTATATCCTGACTGATTTTGTTTCCTATCAATTACTATGAGATTAGTGTTAAAATCCTTAATTATAATTATGATCTCAAATTATGATTTCTCCGGTCAATTGTGTTAGTTGTTTTTTTTGTTTGTTTGTTTTGTTTTTTGATACCAGGGATTGAACACAGGGGCACGCAATCACTGAGCCATATTCCCAGCCTTATTTTGTATTTTATTTAGAGACAGGGTCTCACTGAGTTGCTAAGCCCCTCACCATTGCTGAGGTTGGTTTTGAACTCGGGATCCTCCTGCCTCAGCCTCCTGAGTCGTTGGGATTACAGATATGTGCCACCACACCCAGCTAGTTTCGTTTCTTATGTATTTGAGTATCTGTAATTGCATGCATACAGATTTAAGATTTTTCTTTCTGCTGGGTGCAGTGGTGCATACCTGTAATTTTGGAAACTTGGGAGGCTGAGGTGTGAGGATCCCAAGTTCGAGGAAAGCCTCAGCAATTTAGTGAGGCCCTCAGTAACTTAGTAAGACCCTGTTTCAAAATTTAAAAAATAAAAATAAAAAGGGCTGGGGATATGGCTCTGTGGTTAAGCACTCCTGGGTTCAATCCCCAGTACCACAAAACAAAAAATATTTTTTTTCATTTTTTTAAGTACTGGAACCAAAAGCTTCGAACTCTCAAATATCAGGCAATCAGGCAAGCACTAGACAGTATTCCCAACCCCTTTTTTTTTTTTTTTTTT